ATTTTGCAAAGCATAAACACGAATAAGAGATTGAAATGACTGATTATTTCCATCAACTCTAAGTTGGGTTTTGGCAAAATATTGAAATTGAAGTTGTCCCACATTGGAAGAATACAAGGATGGTCTCCATGTACTAGAAGTTGTCCCACATCGGAAAAGTACAAGGAGGAGATGTGTTCCAACTATTATAAAAAGAGCTCATGGGCTTGGGTTTTAATCATCCCAATTGAAATACTTTAAGCCAGGTATACTAGCTCTAGTTAACTGAGCGGTATTTGCTTTGAAACAGTGTTTTGTGTAATTGGGGTCGGGGAGAGAAATCTGTGATTGTAATAATTTTTCACATAGTGGATTTTCCCTTGTGGGCCATGGTTTTTTCTCCGGTTTGAAGTTTTTCCACGTTAATTCTTGTGTTTCTTTATTTTATTGCTTTCTTTAAATTTCTTGGTTATTTTCTACTTATTCTTATGGTAGAAGTAGGGGATTTTTTCCCATCAAGTGGTATCAGAGCTTTAGGTTTGTAGTTTCTAGAATTTCTGAGTATGCTCTGTGGTTGCAGCATTGTCTGAACTTCCACATCAAAAAAGATTTCTTGAAACGAGCTACGGTTCTGTGAATAATGTGAATTGTTCACTATTTGCATATCCGCTAGGAGTGTGAAGCAGATATGTCATTCTTTATGATTCCAGTGAAGATTGACGTGAAGAAATTTGACGGAAGGATCAACTTTGGCTTGTAGCAAGTGCAAGTGAAGGATGTGCTGATACAATCTGGGTTACACAAGGCGTTGAAGGGAAGACCGAGTGAAGGTGCTTCAGAAAAGCTAAGCGGTGATGGTGGTCCAATGGAGTTCAATGGTGGTTCTAGTAGGTTCTAAGAAGTCTAGCATAAGTGATGAAGATTGGGAGGAAATGGATTTGAGAGTTGCAAGCGCGATACGAACAGGTTTGGTTAAGAATATTCTTACAAATGTGCATGGAATTTCAACAGCCAAAGAACTTTGGGAGAAGCTCGAAGCGTTGTATCAGGCAAAGGGCATCTCAAATCGACTGTACCTGAGGGAGCAGTTTCACACGTTGCGAATGGAGGAAGGTATGAAAATTTCAGATCATCTTTGAACTGGAGGCGATCAAAGTGAAGATAGATGACGAAGATAAAGCACTCAGGCTCATCTTATCACTTCCACCTTCTTATGAACACATGAAGCTGATCTTGATGTATGGGAAGGATACTTTGAATTTTACCGAGGTTACTAGTAAACTCTTGCCAGAGGAAAGAAGACTGAAGAGTGAAGGGCGTACTTCACATGAAGATTTGGCACTGATAGCTAGCAATTGGAAGAAGAAGAAGAAAGACTTCGTACAAAAGAAAGCTTATTGTTGGGGATGCGGACAGTCTGGACACATGAAGAAAGATTGTCCCAATAGAGCCGATTCGTCAAAGGGCTTTGGACGGGATGCTGACAGTGTTTCTCTCATCAGGGGAGACAATGATCAGTTCCTTTGAAGAGAGAGAGAATTCATCTTCATGGTATGTCCGCTTTACCATGATAGAGAATGTGATGTTAGCGGTTCCACAAATTTACACATGGGCATTGGCTTGGTGATTATGCAAGGTGTGTGTGGTGGAAGCTATGTCGATGGCTGAAGAACTTCCAAGTGAGCCAAGTAGGTGGAAGTTGCACCATAAATCTCAGCAAGATTTATCGACATATGACGAGGAAGAAAAATCTTGGAATGTGACATTCCAAGTGATCTACTTTTATGGTGGAGTAGACTATAGTTCTCTGAATTGAGAATTATGATTGTCGGTGAAGACAATGAGTGCAGTAAAAGTTGTGAACTTTTTTCAATATCTTGCCAAGGTGGAATTTGTTGGGTTTTGGCAAAATATTGGAATTGAAGTTGTCCCACATTGGAAGAATACAATGATGGTCTCCATGTACTAGAAGTTGTCCCACATCGGAAAAGTACAAGGAGGAGATGTGTTCCAACTACTATAAAAAGAGCTCATGGGCTTGGGTTTTAATCATCCCAATTGAAATACTTTAAGCCAGGTATACTAGCTCTAATTAACTGAGCGGTATTTGCTTTGAAACAGTGTTTTGTGTAATTGGAGTCGAGGAGAGAAATCTGTGTGATGGATTTTTCCTTGTAGGCCATGGTTTTTTCTCCGGTTTGAAGTTTTTCCACGTTAATTCTTGTGTTTCTTTATTTTATTGCTTTCTTTAAATTTCTCGGTTATTTTCTGCTTATTCCTATGGTAGAAGTAGGAGATTTTTTCCCATCACTCTACTACCTCCCTTTGACAACCATCTTCAACTTCTCAGAAACGCCCAAACGATATTAAATGTCCACAATTATCTACTCCAAAATTTCAAAGCGATCGAGCAAACATGAAAATGGAAGGTAGAGAGTTGCGTTTTCCGAAAGTTAGAAATTACACTTGTTAGAAATAATACCATGAATTTTATTTTGACAATTCTCACACAAGACCAACAATATAGCATTTGACCCTACTAGATTTGGTTACCGATGTAACTCATAAGATATTAAATTTGAATTTTATTTTGACAATTCTCACACAAGACCAACAATATAGCATTTGACCCTACTAGAATTGGTTACCAATGTAACTCATAAGATATTAAATTCAAAGTAGGTGGTCACTCTAGTTTGAACTCATTCTTTCTAAGTCTTTACTATTTCTTGTTGAGTTTGTAAGGTGAATGCAAACAAGGTCTCACATTGACTAAAAAAGAGCATGATCCATGGTATATGGATGAGAGGACAATTATATATTGGCATTGACGCCTTTTTGGGTGAAACCAAAAACAAAATTGTGAAGGCTATGCCTAAACTGGATATCATATTATTGTGGAGATATCAATTATATTTGTAAACTAGTGTTAGTTACCAATTAAATATTTATGTTAATCTAAATTTATAAATTTTGTAGAATTATGTTTTCACTATTATATAATTTATAATAGGTTATGTTTTAGATCTTTTAATTTTAACAAAAATTGAGTTTATAACCTGAAATAATATATTTATCAAAGTTTTTATATATTTTTTAATATAATTCTACATTTTAAAATTTCAAAATCCAAAAATAGTTTTTATAAACAAAATTGACAAACAAACATTTACTGAATCCATTTGATTGAGTAAATTTGAAAACAAGAAACAGTAGGTGTATTGCATACAAAACAAGCCCTTATTAACAAGATATATTACTTTCAAACAAACAAATATATATATATATATATATATATATATATATATATATATATATATATAATAAGTTAAATATATATTACATTGTAATGCACACGACATCAGAATGCAACGACTCAAAAATCTCAAATGGTGTTTCCACGAGGGAAATAAATATATTATACTCTCTCCCCCTTTACTGTTGCTAAAATATACAATTTTTCCTGCGTCCCCCTCCTTATGTTAGTTCTTGTAACCTACTTTTGGAAAACGTATCTCAAACAAATCTCAAGCGGCGTTCTTATCTTGTTCCAAGTTTTAGAACAAATATAACCCAAATTTTCATTCTCTAACTTTTATAAGTTTATTGCCCATTTTTTAATAAATTTATAGATATTGATTTAGTTAACTATTTTCATTGCATCTTACCTCTCATCACCCAAAAATTATTCATTCAGGGAGGAAAAAAAAAAGTATTTCCCTCGTATTTCTCATCATGGTTTTAAATATTAGTCGATTGAGAGATTAATCGACATTTCCATCATAGTACGAAAAAATCGACAAAATATGAAAAATGTCACAAAATGTCACTAATATATACATAATATTAATATGAATTAGTTTTAACTAATTTAGAAATAGGAAAATATTTATTTGTTAATTTAAATATTTTTTGCGATTTTTTAATTTTTCTAACTTTTATAGAAATATCCATCGACATTAACATTTTATCGAATATTTCCATCGATATTTCTATGAAATTCAGACTTCGATATTTCCGTCAACACCGACATTTAAAACCTTGCTTCTCATAAATGGGGTTTACTTGTCTCACATATGGTCTAAACTTAAGAATCCAAAAGCCAGATAAGTAAACCAATAAGGCTTTTAAGGTTAAACCTGCACAGGTGACAGTTTAAGATAATATTAAAAACCATAATTTGGTTGAGAGAGGCACTATAAAATGGTACATTTTGCAAGTGGACAAAGGCTGACTGATGCACAAATGAATTTCAAAATGCAGTTACAGAACAATTAGGGATATGGTTGCTAAGAAAAAAGAAAAAGTAGAAGAAATTTATAAGTAAAAATTAAAGTCACAAATCATTCCTTTTCTTTACTGAGGCATGGGGGATCATCTTGGACCAGAAAGCTCAACTGCATGTAGATTTTCAGTTGAATCAACAATCCAATCAGAATTCGGGTGGGGCGATAGATCGATTTCTTGCCGTAGGATTTCCACCTTTTGCCACTCGTCCCATCTTTCAGCCAATCCGTCACCTTCGAGCATTCTCACCACCTCGGACATCTTCGGCCGGTCCATTGGCGAGCCTTGTGTGCAGAGCAGGGCAACCTGAATCAACTGTTCTACCTCGGATTCAACATAATTGTTCTGAAGATCAGGATCGACCAGCATTTCTAGCTTCTTCTCTTTCAGCAGTCCTTTCACCTATCACATCCAAACCTACTGTTAACAGATACTCTTCAAACGTTACAATGAAACCGATTTCGAAACATATGTACATAAATACTCCTCTTCACTGTCCTATCCCCGGGTTAATAGAAAATAAACATAGGTTGCTTACCCAATCAAGTAACATGACATCATCATCATTCGCAAGTCGAGCCAAATCAAAGGCCCTTTGTCCAGTGATCAGCTCTAGAAGCATGATACCATACCCAAAAACATCTGTTTTCTCGGAAGATTTTCCAGTGGAAAGGTACTCTGGAGCTATATGTCCGATAGTACCACGGACAGCGGTGGTGACATGAGTATCCTTGTAGTCCATAAGCTTAGCCAACCCGAAATCTCCAACAACAGCCTCAAACTCCTCGTCCAGTAAAATATTTGCAGCTTTTACATCCCGATGAATAATCTTTGGATCACAGTGATCATGCAAATAAGATAGCCCTCTTGCAGATCCCAATGCAATTCGCTTCCTCGTTTTCCAATCAAGAGGTGGTTGGGATGGTGGTCGTTCTAAAAGAATTGAGACCAAAAAGATGAGAACCAAATAGATGAGATGGGCAAAATTCATTCTAATCTTACAGTGTTTAGATTTAAGAATAAAAAGAAAGTATTCTTTTACAATAAAAACCATCAAGAACCACTAAAATAGACAGAGAAAGAAAATGCATGATAAAGAACATGAACTGAAACCCGAAAATGGGTACCTCTTAAACAAGACGCAACACTTCCATTGGCCATGTAGGGGTAAACAAGCAGTCGTTCAGTTGGCGTCATGCAAAATCCACGTAACCGTAACAGATTCCGATGCACAGCCATGCTTATCATCTCTACTTCTGTCTGAAATTGCAGCTCTCCACCAGGCGTACGTTCTTCCTTCAGTCTTTTTACTGCTACTAAAGAACCATCTGCCAATCGACCTTTATAGACCTTGCCAAATCCACCCCTACCAAGTATGTTCTTGTTACTAAAACTATCAGTTGCCACTTGTAGTTCTCTCAGTGAAAATCTTTTAAGTTGCCCCAGATGCACTTCAGGATCCTCTTCCGCTGTGTACCAGCATTAAAACAAATAAATCCTTCAAATAATCTTAGTCAATTGAACAACTATTTGAAAGAAAAAAATACTAACCAGGTACATCGAAGAAAATTTCTTGGGGTTTCCTTCGACGCCACCACGCAAATGCAATTGCTGGAGCTGCAAAAAGTAAAGCAGCACCTGCAGCAACTCCACCAGCAATAGCTCCAGTTGCACTATTCCCACCTGGTATATTATTGTTTTGGTTATCATTTTTCTTAAGAATCAATTTCTATTCACAGAAGCAGAAGAGACAAGATGTTCAAGCTATAGGTCTACAGAGAGATTACAGAAACTTCTTCAATCTGTCAAATGGCAAAATATAAAAATATAGGGGTAAAATAAAAATCTTTGTAATAGCCAATAGGACAAGACCACAAGAAGCTTAACCCTTATTCATAATCTGAAAACAAGTTTTTGAAACCAAGGTAAAGAATAGAAAACAAAGTTAAACTTACCGTATTTCTTGATTTGAAAACTGAATTTTGGATTAAAAGTTAGAAAACAATGTTTGATGGTGAATAGAATGTGTTTAGTAAGAAAACATAGTTAAAACTGACCATAATTCTCGAATTTGAAAACTGAATTTTGGATTAAAAACTAGAAAACAATCTTTGATGGTGAATTTCTGACATGGTGAATAGAATGTATTTAGTAGACTTAGATTTTTCAGAAAATCATCAATTTAAATATATTGTTTTGGAGAGTATGCTGTATGCTAAGAGAGCGTGGCTTAGAGAGAGATATGCCTCGCTTTATGAGGAAAACATAAGGTTCTATTTGTCAGAAAACCTCTGTGTTCCCAGAAAAATTGAAAATATTGAATTTTAATAACTTCAATGCCCTCATAGTATATCTAGATTTCAAAAGAGAAAAAAAACGTGAAAAAGAAAATGGAATAGATACTAAATAACCCCTAAAAAAGATATTTTCTCTCGAATATCATCTCTATCATGCCATCTTTCTCATCCCAAAATTCTCCTTTTCTGTCGTTCCAAATTTCCCAGATCATAAACACCAATAATACATTGAAATGACTTCAACTATTCATTCAACTCTAGTACCTCCATTTGACAGGAGAAACCATCTTCAACTTTCTAGAAACACCCCAAAAAGATCAAATGTCCACAATAATATAATCCAAAATTTCAAAGTGCTTGAGCAAGCAGGAAAAAGGAGGAAAAAGTGACTTAAATCTTCTCCCCACTATTCACATCAACACATTTTAAGCAGTTCAAATGAAAAAATGGTTATTCATTCAATATAGGAGTCACAAACCAGAAGATTTATTTTTTTCCTTTTTTGACAAGAACAAGAAATTTTCATTGATATTTGAAAAGTTGAACAACCAAATATCTAAAGCTGAATCTTGAAGATCTATTTCTATGTGTTATCAAAATTTTACTTAAGAATCTGGCGGTTGGGCTCCATAATTCATTTATGAGAGAAATATTGGATTGATAGTGACTCTTTTACCACAACCACGCCCCCTCCCTCCCCTTTTTTTGATAAAAGGTATTCCCATAAAGCAATAGACCCGCCCTTCTTTTCATTGTTAGGGCTGCTTGATTCCACCAATTCTATTCCAAGAGAGCTTCATATCGTGTACTCCAGATCATAAAGATATCATCCAGGCTCTAAGTCTTCCGGTGGACTTTTAGAGATGTGTGATAGAATCTAATTCCATAATAGAGGGGATTTACAGGGTTGAGGGAGATTCGAGAGCTCCATTGCCTCTCCTTCCTATTCCTACATACAGGAAATTCAGACTTCCAAAAGGATCTCCCCTCACATCACAGCAGTATATATAACTAACATATTATTTACCAGTATATATAACTAACATATTGTTTACCAGAATGCCCTGTAACTAACTTGGGCCCACTCTAATAACAGAAACTATTCCTTCCCCACCTCTCCACAACTACTCTCCCCTTCTACCCCTCTTCCTAGAGTACATTTTCTTAATTGGAGGCCTATCAATATGAAGAGCTCTTAGTAGGAGATGTGGGCCTTGTCTAGGTTCAATGTCCCTAGATTTCAGTTAGTAATGATTTTTGTCATTGCTCTTTATCTCTCATTCTTTTAAACTGGAGACCTGTATCAGAATGAGTGTAATTGTGTAGCTTGATAGCTATTTGTGTCTGTGTTTTCTAGCTCCTTTTGTTCTGGGGTTTCCCTTTTTTTCTGTTTTCTCTGTATTCTTTCATTTCTTCTAAAGTTGGTTTCTTCAATAAAATTTAAAAAAAAATAATAATAAATAACGTTTTGCTCATTTTACTACCCCACATGTCTCAATCCCTTTCTTTGCTAAACTCTAGGAGGTCTCAATTCCCCAAAAGGTTTAATTCTTTTCTTGATTGGTTGCACTTGGTAGATGTATTTTATACGAAACAAAAGTTGCCATTAAACTAAAGGACTAGCCATAAAAGACAGGAGTAAAGAGGGCTGCCTTTGCCAGAGGTTCGAAGTAGCACTTGGTACAATTAACATCATGAACTTTATTTATCCATAAGACTTGCTTCTTCAGTGCCCCACTCAAACTGGTGCAAATTTTTTCAAGCACCACTGTGCTCCATCACGTTCTTTGAAGATGCTTATTTGTCAAAACGATGCAACAGAAATTCTTTTCAGGCTTTTGGAGTGTCTTTCATTTCTAACTATAGTTGCCTGATCTGTTGGTAGAAGTTGCTCTTTCCAGGATAGCAGAAAAGTTCCACAATCGGTTTCTTTTCTATTATTTGGAGTATTTGAAAGGAGGGTTTATCATAGGCATAGAGGATGTTTGGAGTGTGGCTCACTTCAATGCCTCTTTGGACTTCTGGTTCGAAGTAATTTACAGATGTCTCGTTGTTTTTACTGCCCAACTGATTGAACAATGAACTTCTTGTAATTGTTGTTGTGGCTCCCTTGGTTCCTTTAACCTTCAGTTCTCCATGATCTTTGGTTGTTTCTTTAATTCCTTTTAATAGAAGTGGTTTCTTATATCCAAAAAAGAAAAATAAGGAAAATCAGACCTTCCAGGAGCCTAAACAAAGGTTCACCAACCCTACACAAAAAGCACTTTCTTGGAAGAACTGATATGCTTGAAGGATTTACAAGAAAATACTCAAAAAGTCTTTAATCTAGAAATCACCACCTCTTATGTAACAGTAGTCACCAGTTACATGATAACAATGAAACCTAATCCAAAGCTTCAGAATCTTACCATCTTCCAACAGAAACTCTACTCCTAATTAAAACCACCATGTCTGAAATAACTAGAAATATAAATGACCTAATAATTAATATACTAGGTGAAGAAAGGGGCATTCACCAGAACTTGAGCCAAAGAGAACCACCAATTTACGTCAAATTCCAAGTTTCAGAATATGAATCTAGTAAAGGTTTTCATCACTCCTTATTCAGAATTTAATTACAAGAGTTCCATCACTGATACTAATTACTAACAATAACAAAACTGAGATATAGCCCATGCAGACATACAAATTCCCATCAAATTGGGCAATGAAAAAGATGGGATTGCATGTCAAGAAATATTCAGACCCCTTCAACACAAATGATTGTGAAGCCAGAAGGTAAGAATAGGAAATATATTCAGACAAATGAAACTAAAACGGAAAAGAAATTGATAAGATAACATCATGAGAAATTTAAATAACATGTTTCAAACCTCCAAATAGAATTTCATCAAATATCATCTCTGAAACTACAGCCAACAAAAAACCAATACAGAGATAACATTGCAACAATACACTAAAAGCCCAAAATTTCACCTGGTGAAGATATAGGTGGCGGTGGGACAAAGGGCGGAGGAGGAGAAAATGGAGGAGATCCAGGGCAAGGACGTCCAGTGACAGGGCCACAGAGATCCAAGTTGTTGGCAAAACTGTTAGGAAAAAAAAAATCAAAATATTCAGCTAAGTACACAAATCAAAGTAAGAAAGATGGACTTTAACAATCATCAAGAAACCTGATGGGGGTGAATAAGGAGAAGGAACCATTATCTGGAACCACGCCTGAGAGATGGTTATTTGATAGATCCCTGGAAAAAAAAAATACTGTCCTCGTAATTTGTACTCTAACCATGGCAAACTTGTGAAGGAGAGAGAGTTATACTCACAACACTTGAAGGGATGAAATATTTGTCAATGACATAGGAATAGGACCTGATAAGCTGTTGTTGTTCAGCCGGCTATCCTTATAAAAACATTCCAAGAAAAAACAACGTAAGAACTAAACAAAACAACTCAAACTCGATGAAAGAAAATGAACAAGTCATGATAGAAAGTAATGATTCTATATCTGCATCACAAATAAAAAGCCTAACAAATTCGATACTTTATAATTTCCTCTCAAATAAGAAAAATTAAAGCATAATTCAACCACCTCAGGTAATTATTCCAATTGCCATGAAAAGGACAAATGCAATGCAATTAACTGCATTTTAAGCCATAATAAACGACAAACCCCTTCAATTAACTGATTAAGTGTAAAAAATGGATTTTCAAAGTATTTTTGCAATGTAAAATCAGGGAACATCAACTTCTAATTCACGATGAAAGTGCATTGCATTTTTGGATATCAAACACACAAAAAAAAAAAGGTGATATCAGAAGTATTTTCCAATCAATAAAATACCAATCTCGAATCAGAAAGGTGGTTTTCTGTCCATAGAACACAAATCATTGAAACTTCATAAGTATTCTGAAATGAGGAAAAAAATAAGTTCTTAGGTACAACATAAACTCACAGGAATCGTAGTTTTGACAGCTTGCCCAATGTGTCTGGAATTGGACCTGAAAAACTGTTCAAATAAAGATCTAAGCTCACCAAACTAGTCAGATTCCCAAGGTCACTAGGAATTACTCCACTTATGTTGTTACTGTAGAGCTCTCTGTCATAAAGAAGAGGGAGAACAAAAGCTTTAGTTAATTAAAAGTAGATTACTAAATTACATAGATACAAGGTTTCTAGAGATAAATCTTCACAATCAATGTTGTAATAAGACGGATGATGAACATGGAAAAATATCATGGTTAGTATTATTACTAGGAAATTTAGGATATTATATGTACGATACCTTCTAACTATGTTGAGTTGGCATGAATATGGTTTTTCAGTCCCTTTCAAAATTATGGTTGACCACTATAAATGACCCTTCAGTGTTGGGTGATAGTCAGATTACTACAGTGATGGTTGAATTATTTTATTTTACTTTATCTTATTCCAAACTTTTTGTTAATTACATGAAAAGTACAAAAAGAAGCCAGCTTACAAAAGACACTCCAATTAGTATCAATTACAAAAGATTACAGAAAAAGAACACCAAGTTGTATTAAAAAAGGGGCTAAATTAGAATCTACATGGTTTCAATTTTTTCTTTAGTATTAAAAAGTTTTAATTTTATCCTCAATCTTATAATTTGTTACAAAGAAAACTTTATGCTAGCAATTTCCAATATAATTTAACCTTTTAAAAGGTTTGGGGAAAAATTGAAACCAAGTGCCTAGGTTAGCGAAAATTTTAAACCAAATAAATTCTGAAAAATGCTCCTAAAGAATGTAGTTGGGTTCAATTCTGCCCCCAATGTTAAAAATTTCACATTTTACCCTCAATCGTTTAATTTCTGGTGATATTGCAGCGAGGTTATTTTGAAACAAATTATTAGATTGGGGATAGAGTTGAAACTTTTTAAATGTTGGGGACAAAATTGAAGCCAAACACACAGATCAAGGGAATTTTGAACACTTTAGCCTAAAAATGGTCCAAGGCTCATATTTGTTCCCAATCTTACTCCCTTTCTTCAGAAACCTAGAATGCTCTTGGCTCTCCATCATGCAAATAGTAAGAATTTTCAAGTTGAAAATGTGTATTGAATTATTCCCTTTCCTCTATCACATGTAATTGAAACTTTTAGCAAGAAATTAAAGGGGAAAAAATACAGAAGATCGTCTTCAAGATCCCATGCCTGAGTTCGTGATCTTGGAATCAATTATGTCATCTCCTAGCAATAGCATAACCAGTTCAAATATATTTTTTCTCTACCGAGTTCAATATGGTTATGGTCATTGTCCTTCCGATGTTATATATTACAAGATCATGACAGCTAGAAAGATCCAGAGGATATTCAATACGGAAAATATAATCAACTAAAAAATTTAAGGTACGAATAACTTACAAATACTGCAAATTTTTTAGCAGGCCAAGCTGTGGAACAAGTGTGCCTGACAAAGCTGCATTCCCAAGATCACTGAAATGAACACATAAAACAGTATCTAGATTATTTTCAGAGCTGGTAATTTTAACAGCTTGTCGAAAGCATCTCTTGGGGAGACAATAGACATATCTTGGAGAATTGGAGGATAGCTTACACTCTTATGACACTATTATCGTTATTACATGTAACATGAAACCATGTACAGGGATTGACAAGAGTGGGATCCCAACTTTGCAAGACATTGTTAGGATCTTGCAAGCTGGTTCTGAGGCTATGCAAAGCATCACCTGTTTACAAAATAAAAGCAGAATTAATTACAAAGGGATACAACTAATATATGTCAGCACGAAGAAGCTCCGAGAGCCAGTGGGAAGAGTTCTGAAAAAACCAACATCCCATCTGTTACAAGGACCCAGCAATAGAAAACATTTGTTCCATACTCCATAGTTCAAGATTTATAAATGAGTCATTGGAAGTTCACAGATTATAGTCAACATAAATGTTAGAAATGAGGATGAAAGAGCATTAAGGAAATAAAAGTATTGCTTTGTTCGCTGGAGAGCTCCATTAAAATGTTTTCGCACTTCTACAATTGATATAAGAACATAAGTGAAGGTAGTAGCTCCTCACGTTTTCTAAGTACAAATTATCATGCAGAAAATGAATAAAATGATTAAATAGTTCACTCCAGAGCACTTATCACCAACAAAATCTACTTGGGGATGGTTTCCCCAAAGCTAATTTGTAAAAAAAATTGAGACAAATAGCGTGAACTTTTTCCTTTTTCCACTTAGAATCGGATCCCAGTAGTTCCACTTAGAAGAGTAAAGCCATTTTGACATTCAGAATTCATTTTAAAAAAGAAAGATTGAATTGAACAGGCTTCTGATAAAGGGGAAGAAAAATAGAAAGCTGGAGAGGAGGATACAGACCTTCCATGTTAGCAGAAACGAGCCATAGTGGAGGAACCAGGAAGATCAAGCAGACAAAACCCAGAGCCAAAACCTTATACTGCTCCATCTCCATCAAGTGATCATCAACATCAGATCCAAATGGTAAACCACACGAAGAAACACAATCATCAGAGAACCTCCAAAACCCCAATTGGGAAGAAGACCTAAAACCACAGGAAAACCCCCTCCTCTCCTAAAACCCAGTTCAGAAAACCAACAGAAACTCCAACATTTCAGCTCAAAGACACAAAGCAAAGAAAAAGCCGATCTAGCGACCTCAGAAAGGCGAAACCCAGAAGAGAAGAGAAAAGATCAGAATATTTTCAGTGCATTTCTTTTCACGGGCATAGCTTTTTTCTAAGCTTGCTTTCCTCTCTCTCCTCTCTCTCTCTCTCTCTCTCTCTCTGTCTGTGAAAGTGTTGGTGTGGGATTAGCGTTTCTCTCTCCTTTTGAGGAATGGGATTGGGGAAGACAGAGAAAGAGAGAGTACAAACGTATTTTTTGTGAGGGTGGGGAGCTGCCCGAACGATGCTGACCGAGCTGACCAAACGCAGTCAAAAACGCCTTGGCGCTACATCGTGGAAAGTGACGTGACAAGGTGCAACCAAGACATTTGCTCCTTATTATTATTATTTATTTCTCTTTTTTTAAAAATAAAATTATATTATAATATTATTATAAATGAAAAAAGACGAGGTTCCAACTTACTATATAATATTCATGTAAAAGGTAAGGATATCTAATTGCTTTAAAAGTTATTAGTTGTTTAGGCTTTTTTAATACAGCAATGGGAGTGGAAATTTAAACTTACTATCTGCAAAACATGCTCAGCTGGTTGATATTATTTATTTATGTTTATGCAAAGATCTGCACAACGATACCTTACGAATCAAGCTCGAACCCGGTCCTTGGTTCGACCTGAACACAAGAGTGGACCTGTACAAGAGGGTAAACACTCCGACGCTCAAGTCAGTATAGGTCGGACTCTGTATTTAGCTCGAGGTGAGATTCGATACCTGAGCGTGAAATGAGGCCCTCTATTTATAAGTAGTGGATCCGACAGTGCCCACGACTGGCGGTTACATGTTTTTTCTCATGTCGGACCTGTCGGGTTCTGAGCAGATCGAACCCGAGTCAGGTCGAACTTTCGCATGCGTACTTAGCCTTTTTCTAATGGGTGACCCCAACCTCTTCGGTAGGTTCGAGGTGGACCTGGGATTCTTTAATTCTTGGCCACCAGTAAGCATCCTCCACGTGTCCAAGGTATTTTTACCCCCAAACAATTTAGGATTTAAATCTTATTGACGAGTAAATTTTCATTTTCATTTGGTAAGTTATTAAAGTTTTTAAATTTTCTATTTTAATCTTTACACTTCTAAATTAAATATTTTACTTTATTCTTTAAATTTTGTATTAAAAAAAGTTATTCGAGTTGCTAGCATTATTTTTTAATCATAGACACCTTTTAATATATTTTGAAACTCTACTATGAATTTAGTAGGATTTAAAGCTTTTTTTCGATAGGAAATATTTGAGTTATTGTATATATGTTACTTGCGAAATTTTAACCTATAGGAAATATTCTAAGAGCTTAACTTTTTGGAACTGACTTTCTTCACTTCAACTGTGAGAAAGGATAATTCATCTTAAGTGAACTTCGTACTTTAAACTAAACTTGAACTCAGGTTGGATTTACAGTTTTTTGTTATCTGATGAAAATATAATTTGACACGTGTTTATGCAAGAGTTTGCACAACGGTTCTTCGCGAATCAAGCTCGAACTCGGTCTCCGGTTCCGACCTCAACACTAGGGTGGACCTGCACAAGAGGGTAAGCACTTCGATGCTCAAGTCAGTATAGATCGGATTCTGTATTTAGTTCGAGGTGAGATTCGATACCTGAGCTTGAAATGAAGCCCTCTATTTATAGGTGATGGATCCGACAGTACACACGACCGGCGGTTATATGTCTTTTCTCATGTCGAACCTGTCGGGTTCCAAGCAGGTCGGACCCCAACCAGGTCGAACCTTGATGCCCATACTTAACCTTTTTATAATGGACGAACCCGGTCTCCTCGGTAGGGCCGAGGTGGACCTAGGCAATCCCTCTTATTCAGTTTCTTCAAACACCAATAAGAGTCATCCACGTGTCCTAGATATATTTTACCCCCAAACATTGGCCCCCTCTCTGTCAGGTTCGATCTCGACCTGGCAGAGAAGTTCATCCGAGTCCATTTTGGACACGTGACGACTTTTCATTTGTAGAGGGAATATGACCGTTGCGGAAGATGTTTCGATCTGCCAGGTTGTCGGAGCACTCAAGTATTCCATCGTTGCGTATCTCGAGAAGATCCTAGCCGCTCGTTGATTACACGTGTACGACTCAGAGACTTTTCCGATTAGTTATAAATTGTCCTGAGATTTCAAGTCAAACCTCACGTTTCCTGAATTTCTGGAGTTCGATCTGAAGCCAGCTCGAACCTTCCGTAGGCCAGTCATTCTTGTTTACTTCTTTTTCGAATATGGTGGTTTTTTTGTCTTCCCCTTCCAGTAGTTATAGCCTAGGTAGTGCGGGTCGTACCATAAGTAGTTCGCCCCCAAAACCAAGTGATTCTGGGGAGGGCTTAGCTCGTAGGTTAGAGTCCGAGCTGGAAGAAATAGAGAACTTTAGGTTCTCAGATGATGGAGAGGATAGTGATACCTCCACCTCGGGCCAGGGTCTGGAGTACCCTTCAAAGATGTCTGAGCACTATCTCGGACCCCTCCGTAGGGGGTTTAAAATTCCGAACGATATCCTTCTTAGGATACCTGAGGAAGGGGAAAGAGCTGACAATCCCCGAGAGGGATGGGTCACTCTTTATTTAAAGATGTTTGAGTACGGCCTCAGACTTCCCCTTCATCCTTTTGCTCAGGAGTTCCTGAACCGAACTGGACTGGCTCCTGCTCAAGTGGCCCCCAATGGGTGGGGTGTCATTTTTGCTTTAGCTATTCTTTTTTGGTTGCGAGCTTGGGACGAGGATGAGGCCGAGCTACTAAGCGTGGATCAACTTCTTGGGTGCTTTGAGGCCAAGAGGATAGCTAAAAAACCAGGTCGGTATTATATGTGCGCGAGGAAGGGCGTGGGTGGCATAGTCAAGGGGCCGACCTCCATCAAAGGATGGGTAGGTAAGTGGTTCTTTGCCTCAGGGGAATGACTGGCAAAGGACAAGTCAGGTCGTCCCTTCTTTGACGTGCCTGGTAGGTTTGGGAATCTAGGTATGAGGCCGTTGCGTTTACCTCTTTGAATTTTTCTATTCTTCCTTTTTCATGTCTAACTTGAATCTTTTTTGTCTTGTGCAGTGTCGATTAAACCGATTCCTGAGCTTGCTCAAGCTACCTTCGATACCCTCAAATACTACAAGGATCACTTCCCCAGGGGCCGGAAGATCGGAAACTTGGTCACCGACAAGCTACTCTTGGAGTCAGGGCTACTAGACTACAACCCTCTGGTTCGACCAGTTGAAGCTTCAAGGCCGAACTCCGAGCTCGGTAAGCCGTGTTCGATCTCGACTTCAATCTTAACTTTCCTTTGATCTCAAACTTTATGCTTGTTTATTTTGCAGCAATGGTGTGCGGATTCACTGGAAGTGTGAAGCGCAAGTCTAAGGGTCATGCTCACGCCCTCAAGACTGTGGTGGGTACTGAACCGGTGACGCCAACGGTGCCACGGACTGAGGCCCATGGTAACTCTTGG